CACAGCCGTGCTGGCCTCAGCCTGTCCCCATCCAAACGGTGAGAACGGCTGGGAGCGGGGCCGTGGCAGGGAAGGGCATGGGACCGTGATCTGGAGTCTCACTGCTGCTCATCCGCAGGAGGATAGAGATGCCTATGAGGAGATTGTGAGGCTGCGGCAGGAACGGGCCCAATTCTTGCAGAAAATCAGGAGCTTGTAGCAACAGGAGAAGCAGAGACGAGAGGTATTGGCAAACCTTGCCATCCATGGGGCTTGCAGGACAGATGCCACCATGTCCTCAGGGATGGAGAAAATGGGAGGGACAGGGATGGTGTTTAACCCTATCATCTCTCTGTGTCCTGCTAGCGGGCAGAGCTAGATGAGGGCTCCATTCGCTCCATGGAGAAGCAGGTGAGCCCAGTGGGCCGTGCCCAACAAGGAGGTACCAGATGTCTACGGCTCTCTGCGGGGTCCCCATCCTGGCTGGTTCTGCCAGCATTGGTGTCTGGCACCTCACCTGGGTGTTGAATTGGCATGGAGGGGTCCCCATGCCTCCATTCGCCTCTCCAGATCCAGGAGCTGGAGCAGCGCCTGGCGGCACGCGATGCTGACAAGGAGCGCCTGGGCAAGGAGGTGGAGGCTCTGCGAAGCCGCTTGTCCTCGCTGGAGGTGGGAAGAGGCAGCGCTGGCAGCACCGGCGGGCTGGGGAGGGGGCTGTCCCCAGGTCCAGGAGGTGCAGAGTGCTGACACCCATTGCTCTGTGCCCAGAATGAGAAGGAGAACACGAGCTATGACATTGAGACGCTGCAGGACGAGGAGGGAGAGCTACTCGAGTTCCCAGGTAGGGCCGTGCTGGCCCCAGAGACCCCGCAAGGGCAGGTGCCTGCTGGGGCTGGGCATCCTTTGGGGAGGAGACGTTTCATGGGGAGATCTCCCCAGTAAGGGAGGATGCTGCTCTGGGACATGGCACCATGTGCTCTGTGTGCCCCTCCAGGGGCAGAGCTGCTGCTCTCCAAGAAGACGCTGAGCCCCTCGACTGAGGAGCTGCTGGCCACGCTGCAGGGCCAGGTGCATTCCCTCACCATGCAGAACAAGGAGCTGAGGGAGAAAATCCAGGTAACTTGCCCAGTCCACCTCTCTTCCCATCCCTCCTTGCTCCCGCTCCGTCCTCGGGTTGCCTCACTGTCCCTTCGGCAGATCCTGGAGAACTACGAGAGGGACGAGAGCGACCCGGCCACGTCGGGCGACTTTGTCCCCGTCAGCCTCTACGACTCCCTCAAGTGCGAGCTGGAGCAGCTGAAGGAGCAGCACACGGCGGCGCAGGCCGCCCTGAGCGCCCTGCAGGACGGCCATGCCAAGGGCAAGGCCGTGCCCGCCGAGGCGGGCGGGCAGCGGAAGGCTGCGGATGAGGGGCAGATCCGCACGGCGCAGGAGGACCGGAGCAAAGGCAGCGTCCCCAGGGAGGCGGAGGAGCTGGTGGAGGCCAGCGGCGCGGCCGGGGAGAGCAGCTCTGTGGAGCAGCTCAGCGAGGAGCTGGCCCAGCCGACGGCCATGCCAAGGGCAAGGCCGTGCCCGCCGAGGCGGGCGGGCAGCGGAAGGCTGCGGATGAGGGGCAGATCCGCACGGCGCAGGAGGACCGGAGCAAAGGCAGCGTCCCCAGGGAGGCGGAGGAGCTGGTGGAGGCCAGCGGCGCGGCCGGGGAGAGCAGCTCTGTGGAGCAGCTCAGCGAGGAGCTGGCCCAGCCTCGGGCCA